CTCTGTTGGAGAGCGTCCTGCCTTCCTCTGCAGGGGAGAACAGGTCTCTACCCACTTCCATGTGACATCCCCTCACATGCCTGTATGTCGCCAACAGATCCCCTCTGAGTCTCCTCTTCTCCAGGCTGAAGAGACCCAGTTCCCTCAGTCTCGCCTCATATGGCATCCCCTGCAAACCGGCCACCAACCTTGTGGCCCTGTGCTGCACTCACTCTAACCTGGCTATATCCTTTCTGTAATGAGGGGCCCCAAACTGAGCACAGTACTCCAGTTGCGGGCGCACCAGAGTCGTATAGAATGGTAGTAATACCTCTCTCGATCCAGAAGCCACACTTCTGGATATGCAACCAAGGGTGGCGTTCGCCCTCTTGACCACTGCGTCACACTGCTGACTCATGTTCAGCCTGCAGTCAAGCAGCACCCCGAGGTCCCTTTCACAAGTGCTGCTCTCCAGCCACTTGCCACCTAACCTGTACTTATGAGAGCTATTCCTATGTTCCAAGTGCAAGACCTTGCACTTATCCACATTGAACACCATCCTGTTGTCTCCTGCCCACTTCCATAGTCTGTCCAGATCCTTTTGGATCTGGAGTACCTGCTCCTCAGTTGTGGCCACTGCTCCAGTTTTAGTATCATCTGTGAATTTGATCAGCAGACTGTTCACCCCTTCTTCCATGTCATTTATGAAAAGATTAAACAGGATCGGCCCCAGGACAGAGCCCTGAGGGACCCCACTTGTCACTGGCTGCCATCCCGATGATTCCCCACTAATGGTTACCTTCTGCTTTCGGTCAGTCAACCATGCCCTAATCCACCGGACAGTGCATCGTTCTATCTCAAAACTCCTCAGTTTCTCCACCAAGATATCATGGGGCACTTTGTCAAAGGCCTTGCTGAAATCCAGATATAGCACATCCACTGCATCCCCTCCATCTGGCCATCTCGAAACCTTGTCATAGAATTCCACAAGGTTTGTCTGGCAGAGCTGTTTTTGAGGAAGCCGTGTTGTGTGGCTGTCAGCCTCCCTTCCCTATCTAGCATCACTAGAACTCTCTCTATTGTGAGCCTTTCCATTGTTTTTCCTACAATGGGCGTAAGGCTAACAGGTCTGTAATTCCCCATGTCCCTTCTACTACCCTTTTTGAAAATTGGGACCACTGATGCCAAAACTTGAGAATAGATTCTGGTTTGGACTGGGAGGATGGGGTGGGGGGTAGCAAAGGGTCAAGGCTGCAGAAATGGGAAGTGGGTGGAAATAGCTAAGATATCCAGGGAAGTTCTTCTAAAACCTAAGAAAAGTGGACTCCTAGCAATCAGAAGACATTGGAAAGCAGCGATCCAAGGTTTTGGCATCAAATCAAGAGAGAGAGTCAAGGCAGTGTTCTAAAGAATGGGTAGCCAGGGGTAGCTGCACAGAAAAAAATGCCTTGAACCCATTGCTGGTAGCCCATCCAACTAGAACAAGGAGGGCTTTGATCCTCTGAATTAATTGCATGCCCATCCCCAATTGCCGTGCTATAATGTAGAAAAAACTGCTAGAGCCACACTTCCCTTCCATTTCTTGCACGGGGGATTTTGTAGCCTGAAGCCAAGCTTACTTGCCTGTAAGTTGTGTGCAATAAAAGCTAATTGGCTGCAACAGGCTCTCTGGTCCACCAACACCCACTTATCCTATTTCTCAGCTGAATCTCCTCCCATCTGCCCAACCGTTTTTTGGCCAATGGAGGGGACTGAAATCTGCTTGGAAACAGGACGCACATGGCCAGTTATCCCTGTATGATTTGTTTTCCAGCAGAATATGCTCCTGCAGCAGTAGCTTGCAGCATGGCACAAAGATCATCAGTAGCTTGCATATGATGCAAAACTGCGTGGAATAGCAAACACCCTAGAAGGCAGAATGAAGATCCAGGGCTATCCTGATAAACTTGAACGCTGGGCTCAAAGCAACAGAATGAGATTCAATAAGGACAAGTGCCACGTTCTCCATCTAGGAAAAAGAAGCCAAGCTGGTGTCCTGCAGCAGCAGGGGGTTGGACTCGATGGCCTTCCTGGCCCCTTCCAACTCTACCCTTCTATGATTCTATCACAATAGCTAGGTTCTTGGCAGTATTCCTGCAGCAACAGAGTACACTCCAAGGGCAAGTCAGAGGCAATATCTTGAGGATTCCTTGTGGTCTACGTGCTGCAGACACTTGTTCTTGTACAAGGCTTAAAAGAGCAGACTTGGTCTCAACATCCACCTGGATGCTTGGTTCCAGCTATGACACGGTCGGCCTGGATGAAATCAAATTCATCTGCGAGGGATCTGCAAGATTAGCAGGGATAAAGCTATAGGTATCGTCTGACTCGTGGAGGTATTAGACCTGAATCTGGAGACAAGGAAGAGGCCAAAGCACGGGGAGGCAATCTAGCAAGTAGAGCTGAGTGAAGGCTGCATCAGGTAGTAAACAGAACACAGCTAAAGGAGGGCTCAGGCTGATGGGAAAGTGTTCAGTCTCACGACGAGCAGCTATAAGAAGCCAGCAGTGGGTTTTCGGTTTGGCTGGATTATTTATGTTATTAGTTCCATCTACACAACCATCAGGTTCCATCCCTGAACCACCAGGGACAGCTCTAGCCCCTAAAGCACAAGGTGATGCTTCCTGCCGTGTGTTACTGACTTTGTCTCGCTCACCAGGATCCACCCATCCTTTCAAAGCTTCACAGTCCAAGTCTCCAGGTTCATGGTCTAGGAACCCTTGCAGCACTAGGGTTCCGGATGCAATTCACACCAGGGATCCATTGGAAGCCTGGCTCCAGATGCAGACTTTTGCTTAAGGCAGCCATAGTTGTTCATGGGTAATGAATCAGCAGGAGGCCTCACAACTGGTCAACCAGGCAATTCTGTCCTGGGCTGAGGAGAGCAGGCCATAAGAAGGTCCTTGCTGAATCAAACCGAAGGAGGTTCTGCTCACACAGTGGTCAACCAGTTGCTTGCAGGAAAACTACAGCTAGGTAATGAATGCTATAGCACCTGTCCGGTTGGGTTTCCAACCATTATTACATATATTAATGGCTTATAGCCACCAGGACCAAGTAGCCATCGATGGATTTATCACCTTTGGGTTTTTCTAATGCCCCTTTTAACCCAACGGAGCTGGTGACCATTACCAGTGGAGGTGAACTCCATAGTTTGTGCTGTGCAAAAAGCATCTGACCTGATTCTCCCTCCCACCAGCTTCATGGGATGACCCACTGGGTTTTAATATTATGGCGAGAGAGAGAGAGAGAGAGAGAGAGAGAGAGAGAGAGAGAGAGAGAGAGAGAGAGAGAGAGAGAGAGAGAGAAGTGTGCCCTTATCTACTCTTTCTGCACTGTACATATTCTTGTACACTTTGATCCCTGGGCTTACCCAGATGTGGCATGAAAACCAAAATTGGCTGATTCATCCAGCCAGTTCCAGGTGTATACACCTGTGCATTCCATGATGTTAGCACTAAAGTGGAGTTGCCTCTTCTTTTCTATGTCAGCTACATGGCAGGCAAGTACATCATAGTCCTCAAGATAAGAATAGCTATTCCTGTTGAATTTGGTCTGTCTCCCTGTGTGACCCTTTTCCTCCAAGAATCTTTTTTCAAAATTCACAACATTGTTCGTGTTCTTCACCTAAACTAAAATAAAGGTGAATGTGGGAAGGACTGAAAGTGGCACATTGCTCATCCCTGATCTTGAAGCAGCTGAGCATGATTTCTTGGTGGTCTTCCTCACTCTTGGAGGATGAACTGCTGCAGGGCTGCACCATCCAGATGGCTGCACAGGGGACGTGGAGGAATCTGCTGGGAGGGTCAAAATCCAGATGGACTTGAAGGCCTTGTAGGCCATCTACCATTCTTTGATTCTACGATTCATCCATCCAGCACTGGCACCAACTCTACCTGGTGTGTGTTGAAATAGCAGGGGGTGTTCCACTTCTGAAGCAGGCTGCAATCTCACAGGAAAAGGAAATGCAAAGGAAGGGCAAGGTGATCCTCGCAAAATATGGCCACGATTTGCACAAATGGAGGGGTTTTTATATAAGTTGCACAAATTGCAGCTGCATTATGTGCAAATTATTTTGCCATAAAGATAGATAGATACATAGATGGATGGTATGGGTGCAGGCGTAGCCATGTGTGTGGAGAGAGTGAAGCAGAGAAGGAGAGAAGGGAGATCAGGGCTCTCTTTAAAAGTGGAAGCCGCAAAACTAAAAGCTCCTTATCTGGCCCACTTTCAGTTCTCAAGTCATAGTCACATAGAACAGCAGAGTTGGAAGGGGCCAGAAGGGCATCGGGATGAGCCGCTTGCTATTGCAAGACACTAAGTCATGCCGTCCCATTCAGATGACCATCCAGATGCTTTTTGAATGAGGGGGAGCCCCCCACTTCCCTTGACAGTCTTTATTTACTTATTATTTATTTATTCAATTTATAACAAGTTCCATTGCTGTACTGCTCTGACAGTGAGGAAATGCTTCCTGGTGACTAGTCCAAATGCGGCTTCAGCAAGGTGTGCTGAAATCCGCCACATCCAAGCGGGCATAGTTCCTCCATGTGCCCCATTCCTATTGCTGCCTCAAGTGTCATTCTCTGACATTCGTTCATTCATTCATTCATTCATTCATTCATCAGTGTAACTTGGTGTGCTTTTTCCTGAATAATAAAGAGATCTGAGGAATTCAAACAAGGACTTGAGAGTAGACCTGAGAGAGGAGGAAGAATGCAGAAGGTGGTCATGTGTTCACTTCAGTTAGATGTGCATGTGGCTAATTAGAAAGCAGCTCATTTGGTGAAAAATACACACAGTGAAGCAGCTGGGCTTCCTTTTTCGAAAAATACAGTTTCCCAGATTCTATGAGGTTCTCTCCAAAAACACAGTGCAAAAGTCAAGGCTCAAGGTATGAAGAATCCATAATAGCTACATGGGTCTTCGCCCATTCCTTTCCAGTGCTGGCTACATTTAAAAGGCTCTATTTGTTATTGCAGGTTTCCAGAGACGAAGGTATGCACTTGGCCCAGGAGTACTCCTGCCCCTTCTTCGAGACGTCGGCTGCCTTGCATTTCTACATTGACGACGTCTTCCATGAACTAGTGAGAGAAATCCGCAGGAGGGAGAAGTCACTGCCTCAGGCAGAGGGAAAATCGAAAAGCAAAGACAGTTTGTGGCAAAAACTGAAAGGATCTTTGAAGAAGAAAAGAGAGAGCCCCTCTTGATAGTACTCCCCATGCAGTAACCTGCAGAGTTTGGGAACAGCCTACTCTCTGTTGCCATTCCAAAAGGCATACGTGTACGTGGTCATATAATTTCAGGATTCCTTTCTCACATGGTCAGGCTTCTAACTTTGGGTGAGGTATGCACAAGCTCAGAATTGGTTCCACCAAATGTATTAGTGAAAAGAAGGACAAAATGTATGTAATGTATTTATTTGGGCAGAGGAGTGATATGCTTTGAAAAGGTCAACTGTATCTCCTAAGACTTAGTCATTGCAGTACGAGTTTTAAATGTTGCTATTATTACTTTGCATTTTTATCCCACCTCTCCTCCTCTAGCAAGGAGCCCAAGCCTCTTCATCTCCATCCTGCCCTCTCCAAGGTTCTCCTCCTCCTCATTTTATCCTCACAACAACAACCCTGTGAGGAAGACTGGACTGAGACACAGTGATTGAGATCCAAAGCCACCCAATTGGCTTCATGGTTAAGCACGGACTTGAAACCAGATCTCCTGAGCCCTAGTCTAGCACTCCTAACCCCTCTGCCACACTAGTAATTCTCAAAAGGCTGGAAAATAACCTTACCCATTTTACTTTTAGCCTATCCACCACTCCACTGTAGTCCTCAAAAGCTTCACCCTATTGAGATTCTGTCCATGGGCTAAAATAAATTCATACCCTTTGTTTTAAACCATATTGTAAGTACTCATCAAGATGGCTATGAAATGTAGACGAAATCCAGAGGCAGTTCCTAGTCTAGAACTCCACAAACTCAAGACGATTGTGTTAACAACCACGCCATATTTTGCATGGAGGCCTAGATCTTTATTTTTGATGTGTTGCTCAGTGCCCTGCTGTTGTATGTGCTTTCACCGCCTCTGTGAAAATTATGGGCTTTTTTCTGAATTTCCCCTTGCATAAAGAAGGCATTCCTGCTCAAACAAGGAATGAGAAGATTTCTGATTCCCATGCTAGTGCTGTGATCCTTTGTCCCGTGCCCTGATTCTCAAGAGCGCGTTATCCAGATGGAATAAAGGGCCAGTACTGTACATGGCAAAGTGGACAGCGGTGGTGTAGTGGAATGGAGGCTCACAGGGACGTGACACGAGCACTGTTTTATTAGCAGGGACACTAATGCCATCTGCCACCCACCACGTCATACCTGGTTCCCTTGGAGCTTAGCCGCCCTTCTCAGTGTTGCCGTGGGCAGAGAAGTATTTTTTCCAGCAACTGTTTGTTGAGTTATCCCTGTTATAATGACTTGATCTTGAATGGCCAGTCAAGACCTATTTACTGCTCCTGATGGAGGAGGGGAACCCTGGTTGAGTATGTACTTATTTGGGTGGGCAGTTATAGGAATCAGTAAATTGCCTGCATTTCTGGGATCTGCTTGGGGACACGAAGATGGGTGCTTGCGCCTCAAGCACTGGGACTACACCTATTGCAATATTTCTCAAGAGAACGCTGGGGGCACTTTTCTTCCAGGATGGAGCGACATTTTTAGCAAACTGTAGCGGTTGGAGATTAGTTCTTTGCATTTATTTCTTTTTAGCTTCCTCTCTTCCTTTTTTCCCCTTTAAAATGCTTTTTGCCACTGCAGGAATCTTCCTCCTGGAGCCATCTTACCCCACAGTACATCTCAGGAAAGTGAGGTGCATCATGTAGAGAAGTGAGTCAAGATGGTAGAAGACCATTACCTTGTGAAAATAGTGGCAAAACCTTCTTGTATAAAGAGGGAAGGGGAAGTGAGGCAAAGAACCAAGTTTTCCAAACATTGAGAAGCTCCTTGGATCCTTCCGCTTACTTGATTTCAGGTCGCTGGAGGCTTTTTGATATTTTGTAGTATGTGTATTTATTCACAAACAGATGGATTGAGCATAGCTGGAGGCTCACAGTTTAAACCACCACAGCAGCTTCCCAATGTCCACAGATACCTCAGGTCAGATTTCAGAGCGGGGCCCAGGACTGACTCGCTGGCTCTTTCCCAGTCTGATTCTTTTTGTCTCACTGCTCCCAAATGGCAGGCTGGCTGCTTCACACCAGTCACTGGAACATCCCTTCAGGGAGAGGGGAAGGTTGTGGGAAAAACACATGCCCACCTTCCTAGAAACATCTATGCCCATGTCCTTGGTCACCCAATGGCTGGCATGTTTATGCATGCATGCATATGTGTATTTAAATGTATTTTTCAGGCGACTTTGTGGGTGGACCTTTTCAAGGTGACATATAAGATTAAAAACTAAATGAAGTGCATCTGATGAAAATCAGTAAGTACACATTCAACAGAAATGCATAAAATGAGGTCACCGATGAAAATCAATAAAAATAGACATTGCTAATAAAAGTGGCAGCCAGGAAAGCAGGTATCTCTTCAACGCTTTCCTGAAAAACATATGATGAAGAGAACTGAGGAATCTCCCCCCTGCACATGCACACACACACGGAAACCGTTCCTAGTCGTGCAAGACCATTAGTGCCCCAATCCTTGTCTTCTCTATGCTAAGTACTGTCCTTTGTGGGAGGCAAGAGAGAAGACCCTCTGCTGATGATCTCCCAAACCAAAGCAGATCCACCAAGCTAGGTATGTCCACATTGTTGGATCCATTTTGGCAGGACTCCTTCTTGCAATCACAGAAACAGAAGAACTCTTGACAGGGGACATGTCTTTCAAACTTAGAACGAAAGACAGTAACAGGAGACACTTCTGCTGGAGTTTGCTGAAAGTAAGTCTCCCACTTTTGCAATTGTTTGCAATTGTTTGGTCTGGATAAAAAAATTATCCAGACCAAATCCCAGTGCGAAGGAAGCACTGTTCCTCGGAACCAAGCCCCTGTCTGACGTGATGTGAGATGATGGGAAAATTCTGTCTTCTGTCTTCCATTTGTGCTGGGCATTTCACACATCCAGTGAGGTCATCCCTTGTCAAGGAGTTGATAGAACAAAGGTGAACTACTTGTGTGCCCCTGGATACTTTGGCTTACAACTCCCATCAATGGTCGATGGTGAACAGTCGTAGGAGTTTTTGGCCAACCATCCCTCTGAAAGGTCACAAGCTGCCCATTCCTGTTATAATGGGATGAACATGCATGTGTGAACTGCTATGGAACCCTTGCCGTCATCCTTACCCAGCGGAGGGAATCTTGCAATGGCAAATCCCCTGCAATGGACTGCAAGAACCAGAAGCGGGATGCCAGTTGCCGGAGAAGAGAAATCGAAATATGTTGCTATACTTGTACTCTCTGTCTGAGCTTCCTTCGGCTGCTATGCAACAACAGTTCCAGTTCCAGAATAGTTAGAGCTTCGCTTTGATCTGGAGGGGCTCTGAGCTTATTGTTAAGGTTGACTTGCTTCAACGAGACAGCCCCCTTGCAACACAACCTTGTACATGTCTACTTAAGAGTAAGACTTACTGAGTTCAGTGGGGCCGATTCTCAGGTGAATGGGTACAGAATTGCATATAATCAGTTTGAATCAGCCCGAGATGGTTTCCTGTTTTCAGAAGATCTTCCCACAGTGGGATGGCTACAACCATGCACTGTTATATGCTCCAACATTTTGCACATCGTAAAAGGGCCGATCTTGTTTCTCTGCAGAATCCCTGTTCTTGTACTGAGCCTCAGTATTTAAGCTCCCAAATATTGCTGAAGTCTGTCGTCCACTAGCTGCTTGCTGTCTTCTTTTGTGCCAATTTCAAGGCAAATGAGAGTCTGTTTCTTTGGGTTGATGGCCTCTTTAAAAAAAGTTATCGTTATATGTTACTTGGTTCTGTGTTATGTCCTATCATTCCTAATAAAACTCAACCCCATGTATTTCTTGCTACTGTTTGACATCTTAAATTTTACATTTGATAAAATGGACAGGGTTGGAAACACCCGAAAATGTCGGCATTTGCTTCAATGACTCGCCCATCACCTTTCACCAACAGCTATTCTGACTATGGCTGATGGGTGTAGAAGTCCAGAGTTCCGCACATTGCTCATCCTAATTGCATGGCCAACCGAGCCATGGAACTCAATGCCAATGGTTTCAGGCGACCCATCTGAGAAGGGGCTCTCCTCCGGAAGCCATCCTTGAAAGAGATCAAGAGGATGCTGGGCAACTGCTATTTTTATTTCTATAGAATAAAATTAAATTTATTAATACAGCCTTTTAGAATTAATTCATGGCAAACCGTTCCAAGATGTCTAAGTACAGGACGGTACAGAAAGATTTAAAATCAATAAATAATAGGTAAGTATAAACCACATCCAGAGAGCCAAACGGACTTTGCCGGTGGCACTGCACACAAGGCAGGCACTGTGTCGCCCCACACCTTAGTGTTCACATGTGAGCACTGATATACCTGCATCCAAGTATCCATCCCTCACGGAGGGTCTAACTTTTGGAAACAAAAGAAAGGCAGTGGGGATGGGGGAGACAACTGCAGGGACTAGTATCTTACTAGAAACATTTATTGATTTATGTATTTATTTATTTTTAAAGTATCCTTTGAATGTCTCCAAAATGCAAAGCACCCATAATATAGGGCAGTGACGGCAAACCTTTTAGAGACCAAGTGCCTAAACTGCAACCCAAAACCCACTTATTCATCGCAAGGTGCCAACACTGCAATAAATTCTGAAAACTGAAGTTTTAGTTTAGAAAAAACAATTAAATATGATGCTGCATATTCAAATATGCCAGGGGGACAGCACAACATTAAAAGAATCTCAGTCTCTTAATTAGAACATCTCTTTGCTAAATCTTAGATATTAAATTTCAATTTTTCATTAAAAAACTCAAAGCTAAAATCTTGTGTCAATAAAAACAAATGTATTAAAACCCACAGCCAGTCCAAGCAAATATAAAGGAGATATATATATATATCCTTGGCAATGCACTGACTGGCCATGCTAAAGCATGGACAAGTCTCAGCTAATGAGTCGTGGCTCATGATGTCATCACCTGGCGCCGCTACTCCTTTCTGAGCATGCGCGTGGCCCCTATGCATGCTGTTATCCGGTG